GTATTTGCTCTGCAGTTGTTCAGATTAATTAAAACTGACCAGAAGGTCATTGTAAAAGCTCCTATATTATAAAAAGCAAAATCATAACCCCCTAAGAAATAGGCTTATTTAAAAATGGAAAATAATGGGAAGGAGGGGCTTCGGTAGATGTTGTCTAGTTCATAAGGAAATATTGACCAGTATTGTTGCATTGACACAAGTGGTGATGAGGTGATTTATACCATCTGTGCATCTGGCTGTGTGGATATTTATAAATTTGACCAGAACTGATGATATCAGCAGACTTACACTGAACAAATGAAATTCCAGTTATAAAACATAGATCAAGGATGTGCAGATGTATAAGAAATGTGAGCAAAGGAGCGACTAAGACGAGTATCTGATGTGAATGGGCCATTAGTAGAAATAAATACATCAGGAAATGTGATGAAGTTGAACCCTCTACAGAACAAAATGTAACACAGAAATGTGAAAGTGACTCAACTAGCGTAAGCCTGGCAATCATCAGTAAGTCCGGCAAGACAAATCTCAACCTTGATTCACAGAGCCTTACATATATTTACATATGCTTAAATTAAATTCTTACATATGCACAAATTTAAGCATGAACTGAAATTTCCTTTACTTCATTGGAATTTATAGAAGATAGAAGATTACATGACAGACTGCCTTTCCTAACTAAGGAATTTTTTTTTCTCTAAGTTGGGCCCCTCTCTTCTGAGTTGGGCCTCTTCCATTAGTAAACACAAATGATTTAAAATGCCTATAAATACGGTGATCTCAGGAAGATTGTGGGATTTGGAAAGAGCAGAAAGATAGTTGATGAGCATTTGAGTTGATAATACCTATTTGGTGTAGTTTGGGGGTGTAAGTTGAAATAGTAAGGAAACGTGACAGTCACCGAGCAGAACTTCCTCATCATGAACTAATGGGGCAAAAAAACCATTTTTAAGAATCAATATAAATCTCAATACTTTGGATTTTAGAAGTAGAAAACCAAGAAAGCATACTGTTACAGATTATCTCGCATTTTATCTTGCATTTATAAGGCAGTCTAACCAAAAAGTCGTAAGATATCTTTCACCTCTGACATTTTATGACTCTAAATTGTAAGATACAAAGCTAACTGATTATGCCCCCCTGTATCACCAAGTTGGGGACAAGGGCAGAACTGACAAGATCACTTTAAAGTGCAAGGCACAATTTTCTGGTTTGCAGGTCACGGTCTTTGTGTATTTATGTAACAAAGGGACCAGAAGTTTCTGACCGGTGAACAGACCTTTGCGTGCTTGGTGACAGCTGGTCGCCGGCTCTCTACCGCTTCCCAATCCAGAAGCGCCTCAGACGCTTTGTGGTAGCTGTTGAACAAGCCTAAGTTACAAGACTACCATCTTAAAAGCAGGAGCTTCGCATATATTTGAAGAATATACTAGCCTGGAAATCGTGCTGGTTCAGCTGCTGCCTCTCCTGAGCAGCTGAGCTGTCCATGTCCTAGCAGCAGATGTTTCAAAGCAGGTGTCAAGTTAATGATTACGGGTGGCAACCGCTGAAGCTCTCCCAAAGTAGCATTTCCACTCGAGAGTTAAAGCCTCAAAGGAGCTATAAAATAACCTCGTTAATTTGACACTTGATAATGCAAACATCTCAAAAATCCCACTCCAAATTATATGTCTCTGCCTGGCTCACAGCCAGGATTTCTCATCCAATTTCAGTAGATTAAGATTTTATTGTTTTCAGGGAAGCTTCTGCCGAACATTTGGCGGTGTGGTTCAGCATTTAATCACGCTTTCCTACAAGAAAATCGCAACGATGAAACGCACGAACAAAGTCCCACTGATAAAGCCTTTTTATCGCTTCCTTACGGTACCTGCCCTGCGGGGAGCACCCCGAAACCAGCCCGGCAGGACCAGGGCCTCCGCGAGAAAGGCGGGAGCAGGTACCAGAAAGGCCAGGGCGCCCCGTGAGCTGCAGGGCCAGGCTCACCCCGAACGGCAGCCCCACGGCTC